ATGGGTTTCAACATTTCCTGCACCCACATAAACTGAGCTTTTAATTCAGTTTCCATGAATGTTTCAAGGTCCCCTCACAACGGCTCCAGTGGAATGAGCCGGGCATGGTGCTGCGTCCCTGTGTGTCTGCCCAGCTACACTCCTGGGCTGGAAGGTTTAGGATCCTCAGATGGCAAAAGTCAAGCAACCCCTCCAAAGCCACACAGCCCCTCAGTGACAATGGGGGGGGGGTGTTATTATCCCATCCCCCTCGCTCCCTGCCTGCCTGTTATCACCTGCAGGTGAGCTTGCATCATGACAAGTCCCAGGGGTCCAATTAGGGGGGCTCCCCCAGGGAGAAGACTGAGGCAATGGCTGCCCCCCGGGGCCCGGAGCTGAAGTTTTAATTAGCCCTTGCTGCTGTCCTGAGACCCCAACCCACCCCGACCATGCCGGTCCAGCCTGCTCTGTGGCACCAGGCAGGGCTGGCGTCGGTCCCAGTGCCTCAGCTGAAGCAGCCCCCACAAGGAGGCAGGGCAGCTGGGTCTCTGGCCCTCTCCTGCCACACACACCCCACCATTACCACATTTAATCCAGTAAACGGATTAATAAATGGATTAAGTGACTTGACCCATTAAATGGATTAAATACATTCGATGAGTTAATATTTGTGAGGCATCCCGAGCCACGCCCAGCACACAGTAAAGGTTCCGTGTTTGTGAATTAAAAAGCACAAAAACAAGTCAGCAGAGCTGGGGGCAGGAGCCAGCGCTGTCCTTGCTCATGAACATGACACCTGCGGGGGAGGGGGGAGGGGCTGGGGGCTGGAGGGAGAGAACAGGTAGAGAGCTGTGCCCCGGGGGCTCCACACTGCACACCTCCTCCTGAGACCCATGGGGCCACGGAGGCTCGGCCAGGCGACCACAGGTCCCCCTCGCCTAAGCACCGGAGGCAGAGCAGGGCTCTTACCCACCGCCCGGAAACCTGACCCCGTGTCCCCCACCTCAGCCCGCGGTTGGGGGTCAGGAAAGAGGAAAGCCACACCCGAAAGGGGGAAGTGCCCTCTGTGTTCCCCTCTGCCTGGGGGTCGCCCAGGGCCCCGCGACCCCTTGCCTGGCCGGAGCTGTGAGTCCAGGCAGGGATGAGAGGAGGTTCAGGGGCACCCCCACCCCTGCAGACCCCGGCCCCCGCCCTGCCGCCGGGCTGTCACCAGCCTGTGCCGCGCGGAGCCTTGAGAGCCCTCCTCGGACGCGGTTGCCTGGCAACCAGTCCTAGGTGCCGGAAACCCCAGCGGACGCGCAGCCCACCCACCCGGCCTGCCCACGGGAGGACGGGGAGGGCGCCCCAACCCCGGGAGGGCCCGGCCGGGCCAGGAGGGGCTGCGTGCATGTGCGGCCTTTGAACTGTGGGGCAGGGGGCAGGAGTTTCCTGAAGGTGCCAGGGCCCAACCGAAGGGGGGTGGGGAGGAGGGGGAAGGGGAGGCGGCCGTCGGGCCCAGGGCACGGAGGCCAAAGGAGGGGCTCCCCGGAGAGAGGCCCCCGCTGGCGGGAGTCGGCTCCTCACACCCCTGCCCTGGCGCACACGAGGCAGGCAGGTGGAGCGCAGCCAGGTGTTTTTCCATCGAGGCCGGAGGGGGAGGTGTGAGGAGCAGGTCCGGCCTGCCCTGCTGAGCCTCTGGTGTCCCCTGTTGCAATGGGGCCGGGGACAGGCTGCGGCTGGCTTGAGTCTGGGGTCCGCTGAGAGGGGAACGCGGAGGCTACTGCAGGGCTGGGCCTGGGGCCGCCAGCCCCGCCCCACACAAGCACCCCACACGGCCAGGACACAGCAGTCTGTTTGCCATTCATCTCCCTCACCCACTGGGAGACAGCACCTGGCCTCGCACCCTCAGTGCCGGCCGAGGCCTGGGGCTTCTGCACTTAGAGGGAGGAGGGAGAGGAGGGAGATCACTCCCTGGCTGTTGGCTGTCCTGTCTCCCCCCCAGGAAGGTCCCATGGCATCTGTTTTTTTTTGTTTTTTTTTTGTTTTTGACAGGCAGAGTGGACAGTGAGAGAGAGAGCAGAGAGAAAGGTCTTCCTTTTGCCATTGGTTCACCCTCCAATGGCCGCTGTGGCCGGTGCACTGCGGCTGGCGCACCGCGCTGATCCCATGGCAGGAGCCAGGTGCTTCTCCTGGTCTCCCATGGGGTGCAGGGCCCAAGGACTAGGGCCATCCTCCACTGCACTCCTGGGCCACAGCAGAGAGCTGGCCTGGAAGAGGGGCAACCGGGACAGAATCCGGCGCCCCGACCGGGACTAGAATCTGGTGTGCCGGCGCCGCAGGCGGAGGATTAGCCTACTGAGCCGCGGCGCCAGCATCTGTTTATTTAAAGATTTATTTATTTGAAAGGCAGAGTTACAGAGAGGGAGAGGTCTTCCATCCGCTGGTTCACTCCCCAGATGGCCACAACAGCCGGAACTGGGCCAATCCAACGCCAGGGGCCAGGAGCTTCTTCCAGGTCTCCCACGTGGGTGCAGGGGCCCAAGGACGTGGGCCATCTTCTACTGCTTTCCCAGGCCATAGCAGAGAGCTGGACCAGAAGAGAAGCAGCCGGGACTTGAACCGGTGCCCATATGGGATGCTGGCACTGCAGGCTGGGGCTTTACCAGCTACACCACTGTCACTCCCCCACTTGCGGAGGAAGGACACCGGACCAGACGCTGTTTTCTTTCCCCAGCCCTTCCCGGATTTGCTGCTGCTCCCCCGCCTCCGCGGAGGAGCGGCACCAACGAGCTCTCCTACCGACTCAGGGGGCCGCGCATGTTGGCTCTCTCCCCCTTTTATAGTCCTCTCCCACCAATCCGTGCTCCGCTGCCCGCGTGCTGAGCACACCGCTCTCCTCCAATCAGAGGTTGGATCAGGAATCAGCTAATTGACGAAGCAGCTGTGTAAGATTTGTTTACTCCCTCTCAGGCCATATGGTGGGAGATCAGACGCATAGAGTTAGTTTCAGTCCACAGTCTCAGTACTTATTTGTCTCCCGGGCGCCCCGCCATGTTGCGGGGGACGGACCCTGCTCCCCACAGCCACAGAGCCGGCTCCCACAGTATTTATTTTAAACATATTTACTTATTATTATGTTGTTTGAAGGAGAGAGAGAGGGAGAGACTGCATCCACTGCTTCACTGCCCCAATGGCCACAACGGCCGAGGCTGGAGCCAGGAGCCCAGCGCTGCACCGGCGGGCTGGACGGGAAGTGGACCGGCCAGGACTTGCGCTGGCGCTCTGATGAGGATGCTGGCGTCGCAGGTGTGGCTCAGCTCGCGGTAGTGCAACGCCGGCCCCCAGTCCCGGCGTTATGTGCCACAGCTGTCCTCCAGCACAGCCCCCAAGCAAGCCCAGTCTCCTGGATCCCCTCTGAGCTGGGGGCGGGCACGGGGCTCCTTCCAGTCTTGGAGTCCCCACCCCCCTTTCTACCCAGGCTACCGTGGCCTCCCCTGTCTCCCTGCAGAAGGAAGTCTGGCTGCTTACTGCCCCCTGGGTCGGCGTCCGCCCTGCCCAGGTCCTAGCCCGCTCAGACGCCCTGAGATGCTCCGAGCCCAAGCTCTGCTCACAGAGTCCAGGGGACACGCTCAGCACCGCCCTTTGCAGGTGTGCGGTCAAGGCTTCCTAGAACCCCAGCTGTGAGCCTGGGACAGGCTGCGGCCACGCCCATCTGACGGATGAGCAGGGGGGGCGGGGGTTGAGGGACTCCCCAGGTCAGCAGCTCCCAGGTCAAACTCCCCGTGCCTGTGTTTCAAACCCCGCCCTCATGGGGCCATAAGAATTCACTGAGATAATATCTTCCAAGTGCTGGCTCAGGGCCAGGCGCCAGGTAGGAGTTCCTGGCCCTGCCCGCCTCCCCCCAGCCTGGAGCTGGTGGGGGCTGAGAGGTGAGGAAGTGGAGAGGGCAGCAGGAGCAGTCCGAGGGGCCTCCCTGGAGGAGGCAATGGCTATAGGTGGGTGTAAGAGGAGGGAGGGGAGACTGCTGTGTGTCTCAGAGAAAGGTGCTGTGCCTCTCTGTTTCTCTGCCTGTGGCTGCCAGAGCCACCTCCCTCCTCCCAGGACAGACAGATTTGTAAATAGCAGGTGTGGCCTCACTAGGGAGAGCCACGCATTGTTATTAATAACCATAACAGCTGAGCTTCAGAGATGACCTTTCACCCCGCCTTCCTGGCGAGAAGTGGGGTAGGGGAGGAAGCTGTGTGTCCCCAGTGGGGCCTGGGCTGGGGGCGACACTGGTTTTCTGTTCCCTGCTTTCTCCCACACTGTTCCCTCCCCGTGCATCAGTGCTAGGACCACACACTCAGAAAAGGCCCTGGGGCCCCAGCGGCACCTCCTGGCTCCCCAGCTCAGGAGCAAGGGATGTGAGGAGGCGCTGATGTTCAGAAAGTCACCCAGGAGCCCCCAGACCCGCACCCTGTGGTGTCTCAGTGATGCCGCGGCCAGGTGGACAAGGCCGGAGGCAGAGGGCTGCTGCCTTGGGAGGCGTCCCTGAAGACAAGACACAGGTCATTGAGGCAGCAGTGGACACAGCTCTGGGACACCCACATCCACACCAGAGGGCCTGGGTCCTCCCCAGCTCCACTTCCGGTTCCAGCTTCCTGCTGATGCGCACCTGTCTCTCTCTAAGAATAAAAAGACACAATTTAATTGGTGCTTCAGAACCCTGGCTCGCCCCAGGCTCGTGGTAGGGGCAGCTGGAGGGCCCTGAACCCCTTCCTCCTCCCACCCTCCAGAGGAGGGCTGACGTAGGGGCTGGGGCTGCGCCACAGCAGCAGGGGGCACAGCAGAGCTGGCGTGACCGGTGCCACGGGCTGGGGCTGAGGCCTCGGGCTTGGCATGACCCCGGCTGCCAGCCCTGGTGCTAGGCTGTGGCCCCAGGAGGTACAGGGGGGGTCAGCACAGATGGGTTTTGTACGGCTGCTGTGTGCTGCTAGTGAACCCCACCCGCTCCGCGTGGCTCCTCCTGATAGTTCCAGACTCTAGCTCCTTCTCAAAGTGTATTTATTTATTTATGAGAGAGGGCTCCCAGCCACTGGTTTACTCCCCAAGTGCCCACAACAGCCGGGCTGGAGGGAGCCAGGAGCTCAGTCCAGGTCTCCCCAGTGGGTGGCAGGAACCCAACCACTTGAGCAGGCGGCTGGAGTCAGGAGCTGGAGCCTGGACTGGAACCCAGGACCTCCCAGGTGGACCCGAGGCCTATCCGTTAGGCAAAGGCGGCCCCCGGGCTCCGTTTCTAAGGTCTGAGCGGCGCTAGGTGCCTCCCTTCCTCTTCCTAGTGCTACCTGCAGGGCCCAGCCCCTCCTCCCCGGCTCCAGCTCTGCTCTGACCTCTGGGTTTCCAGGAGGTGGCCTGGGTGGTTTTGCCCCACGACCTTTGGCATGCACACCTGCCCTCCCCTCCCCCACCACCGTGCACGTCTGCCCCTGGTCCTTGGAGAGACCACAGTCCTGCAGAGAAGTGGCCGCGCCAAAGGGGCCCTCATCCTCTGACAGAAAGGGGCAGCAGCCGGGGCAGACAGCCAGGGCTGGCCCCCGCCCCGAGCCTGCTTCCAGCCACGGGGCTCAGGCCTGGCTCACTGAGGCAGACCTGGGGGAGAGGTGGGGATACCCGCCCAGGCCACTGAGCGAGTCCCCGGCACCCTCGCTCCTGGCCCACCCTAGGGATGGGGGCATCCCCGCCCAGAGCCGCTGCACCCGCAGAGGGGCTGCCACACCTGTCTGGCAGCTGCCCCCAGCGAGCCCTTCTGTAGCCCGCTAACGCCAGGAGTATTCGCCAGGGGCGCCGAAAACCCCACTTCCAAGTCCCCCGCCACGGCAGCTAACAGCAGACAGAACTGCACTTTTTTACAAATAAGGAGATGCGCCCAGCGGGGTCAAGCGGCAGGCACAAGGTCACAGAGCTGGAAGGCGGCAGCGGACGGACGACCGACCACAGCGCCCGGCCGCGGGGCGCGAGGGGACAGGCGCAGAGCAGCGCCCGCGGCGCGCTGGCCCGCAGCCGGCCCCGCGTAGGCCCTCCGCGCCGGGGCCCGAGGGAGCGCAGGCTCCCAGAGGCGCGGCCGGGCGCTGCGCCCCCCCACGCCCGCCTCCCCGCCTCCCCAGCCCGCGGGCCGCCCCGCCCCCGCTCCGCCCCCGGCCCGCCCCGCCCCGGACCGCAGACGGCGCCCGGCGGCGGCGCGAACGGCAGCGCGGAGGGTGGCTCTGCGCTCGGCGTCCGCCGCGACTCCCCCGCGCGGGGCCCGGCCCGACCCGGACCTGCGGCCCGGGCGGCGCTGGAGGATGCGGCGGCAGCGGCCCGGGCCAGCGACAGCGGGGAGAGCGGCGCCCGGCAGGTAGGAGCTCGCCCGCTCGGCGCGCGCGGAAACTTGGGCCGAGTTTGCGGGCGGCGCGTGGGGAAGGGGCGGGTGGCGCTGCCCCAGGGCGCCCCTACCGGCCGGCGTGGGCCGCCGCGCGCCAGGCCTGGGCCCCTGGCGGGAGGGCGCGCTCTGCGGGCCGGGGGTCGGCCGCTGCTTCCACTCGGCCAGACTTCGAAGCGCCCGGGGCCTGGTGGCGCTTTGGGGCTGCAGCGGGGCCCGGGCTCCGGATCCGGCGCGGGGCCGGGCGGGAGGAGCGCGGGGCCGAGCTCTCGGCCTCCCGCAGGGCCCGCTCACGTGGATGGCCGGGGCGGGGATGGAGCGGCGGGGGGCTGCGGGCGCTCAGGCGCCGCGGGGCCTTGGACGCGCCCTGCTGGGACGGGACGGCCCTGCGGTTTCCTCGCCACCGCTTGACTCACCCTCTGGCCGCAGCCCAGGCTGGCGGGATCGCCCCAGGCGGCGGCTGCCCGGACTCTGTGGCCGGACCGCCCCCCCCCCCCTTTCCCGGGACCTCCCGCCGGTGCGCGGGCGTCGGTGCGCGGGCCTGCCTGCGAGCACACGTGCGCCCGGGGCCGAGCGAGGGGAGAACAAGTTCTGCAGGGGCTGGGTACAGATGGGGCCGTGCACGTACGTGCAGGCACGGGTTTGCATGCGTGGCGGCGGCCTGTGTGTCAGCCTGCTGGGGTGCACGTGCGCCCCGGCGCCGCCGGGAGGGGCTTGGGGACACCCGGAAGCCCTCCAGTTCGGCCGCGGCTGCAGCCCCAAAGCGGGGTCGGCTGTGGGGCCCCGGCTCCGGGGTCACGGGCGGGGCTGGGGGAGGTCGAGCCTACCCCCGCTGCTGACGGTGGGTTGCCCCAGGTTCCTTTGAGGCAGTTTGCGGAACACAGAGCCGGCGCTCGCGGAGGTGGGAGGTCCACGTGGGGGCCGCCAGCAGGCGGGAGTCGCGCGCGATCTTCCTGGTCCTTCCCAACGTCTATCCAGAGACCCCCGGGGAAGTGGGAGTGGGAATTGGGCCCCTCCTGCGGGGGCGTTGTGGGCCCTTCCTTTCCCTGGATTCTGGCTGTGAGCACCGCACCGGTGAGCTCCTCCCCTAGCCTGGGGCGCCCCTCCAGCACTCCCGCCTCCAGGAACCAGACACCTGGATTTTGGCTGCTGTCTGGGTGGGGAGGGCTTGGGAGGAGATAAGGTCACCCCCAGGCTCCTCACGGGCCTCTGGGGCCCACACGGCTCCCTCTAAGACTCCTGGGGGTCCCAGGTGGGGGCTCCAGAACTCTCTGTGGCAAAGGGCACGCCAGGGGCGGGGCTCGGGAGAGGGGGGCTCCTGGGACTGCAGGTGGGGAGATGAGACCCCAGCCAGCACTGCATTGACAGAGCCCCTCGGGACAGCAGGGGCTCAGGACCTGTGGGCGGGCTGGGCCGGGCAGCTCGAGACGCCAGCCAGCCCTTGTGTGGCTACTTCCCCTGGGCCTGCCTTCTGGTGCCCCCTGCCGACCTGTCTGGCTGCCTTGGTGCCATCAGGCGGGCTTCGGCGTGGGCATGGGCCCCGACACTACTCTTGGCCTGTTCCTGTCCCCCAGAGTGTGCCGGGCCCATGGCTGTCGTTGGCCGGACAGCCAGAAGGGAGGGGAGGGCCAGTCCTTGCCCGATGGTGACGGCACCTGTGGCCTGAGTCACCTGCACACTGAGCTGACAGCCTTTCCAAGCAGTGTCAGGAGCGGGGTGCCCGCCCGGGGTGGGGGGATGGAGGCCGGCCAGCGCGGCCACTGCAGAGGGCGCGGGCGCCACGCCGGAGCTCTCGGGGTCAGAATCTTCGTCCTTCTCCAGCACGTGGCGTTGTGTTTCGTCTACTTTTTTTGTTTGGGAGAAGGAGACCAAGCGGGAGCTCCCACCCGCTGGTTCGCGCCCCAGATGCCGGCAGCAGGCCAGGCCGAAGCGGGGGGGCCCGGGAACTCCATCCAGGCCTCCAGTGTTGAGTGGCAGGAACCCAGTTACTGTCGCCGGCTGCCTCCCGGGGTCTGCACTGGCAGGAATCTGAGTCAGGACCTGCATCAGGTCCTCAGACGTGGGACACAGGTGTCTTAGCGGGCATCTTAACCACCAGGCACCTGCGTTTTCTTCTACCTACTGAGAAAGTAGCCCCCACCCACCCTGCGCTGCCACACTCCCCCCCCCCCCATACCTGAGGGCTGGGGGTGGACGCAGCCCGCCTCCCGTGTGCCCTGGAGCTTCTAGGCCGGCCCCACAGCACCATCTACCGGGCAGCTAGCCGGGACCCTCCTGAGGGGCGGAGCCTGTGCCCCGCGCCTGGCCTGGGGCCTGCCTTCAGAGCCAAGCCCAGTGTCTTAGCTTTGGCTCTGGGCAGGTCGGGAGGTGTCACGGGAGTCAACCTGTACAGATTCCAGATTCCAGGCCGGGGCCTGCTTCCTCTCCCCTGCCCCCCATCAGGGACTTGGGGGTACGCAGGGATCCTTGTTTGTGGATGGGGGCTCAGGGTAAGGCCCTGCCCAGGCTGGGCCCCCAGGAAGTGCAGGAGAGAGGGGCAGAGCCGGAACCTTTGCCTTCCGTGGCTCGTGGACCGCCAACCCTCCCCGAGCGCCGCCGGAGCGGCAGGTTCTCCCACGAGTTGACCTGTGAGAGCAGCCGGGTCACCCCGCGGTCCTCACCTCTCTCCGTCTCTCTCCCAGGTCCGCAGTGGAGCAGCAGGGGCCCGGGAGGGCCTGACGCCTTGGCAGCGATGGCTGAGAAGCGGCCCCTGGGGACCCTGGGGCCTGTGATGTATGGCAAGCTGTCCCGGCTGGAGGCAGACCCGGGGCCCGGGCATGGCCTGCCCCCCTCTGCCAGCACCCCGGACCCCTGTGGCTACAAGGGTGCCTGCTTCTCCTGCCCCGTGGGGGGGCCTCCCAAGGCGGGCTCCGAGCGGCTGTCGTCCTGGGCCCCGTACCCTCCCTTGTACCCCAGCAGCATGGCAGGACCCCCACTGCGGGCCGACAACCTGTTGACCAGCTGCCTGCTCTACCGCCCGCCGGGGGAAGGCGCAGAGAAGATGCCAGAGCCCGGCCCCGTCGAGCTCCTGCCCTTCGGCCCCCAGGCGCCCTCCTACCCAGGCCCCCCACTGGCAGCACCCAAGCCTGTCTACCGCAACCCCCTGTGTTACGGGCTCCCCCCCTGCCTGGGAGATGGTGAGGCCAAGAGGCCACTGGATGTTGACTGGACGCTGGTGACGGGGCCCCTGTTGCCCGCAGCTGACCCGGCCTGCCCTCTGGTTCCCGCCGCTGGCAAGGGCCAGTCCCTGGACGGCACTTTCTTGGGTGGGGTGCCAGCGGGCAGCTCCGGCAAGGACTCCTCGGTGAGCTTCTCCCCCTGCCAGGCCTTCCTGGACAAGTATCGGACCGTCCACAGCCCCGGCTTCCTGACCTCCAAGTACACTGGCCCTTACTCTGAGGACCCCAAGCAAGCAATGGCCGAAGGGTCCTCCAGCCCTTGGACCCCGCTGGCCCCGCCCCTGGGACCCCCCTGCCGGGATGCGGTGCCCGCTCACTACCCACTGCCCCACGCCCCGCAGCCTTTGCCTGGCCCTCCAGGCTGTGGCCACCCAGACAAGCAGGCCAGCTACAGCTCTGTGCTCCCGCTGCAGGCTCTGGGAGCCCACAAGGGCGCCGGGTACCAGACTGGAGGCCTGGGCAGCCCCTACCTGAGGCAGCAGGTGGCCCAGACCCCCTACCTGCCCCCAGTGGGACTGGACTCTTACCCCTACCCATCTGCCCCGCTGCCTGCTCCCTCTCCCGGCCTCAAGCTGGAGCCGCCGCTGGCTCCACGGTGCCCACTGGACTTTGCTCCCCAGACTCTGGGGTTCCCTTACGCCCGGGATGACCTGTCCCTCTACGGAGCATCCCCAGGGCTGGCAGGGACCCCACCTTCACAGAACAGCGTGCAGGCCTTGCCACAGCCGGGTGCCTTCCAGCGCACCTGCCAGTCTCTGCCCGCCAGCCAGCAGCCGCCATGCTCGGAGCCCCTGAGGCCTGCGGAGAAGCCGGCGCGCGAGACCGGAGAGAAGCCGTGGCTGCCCAGCTGCCGGAAGGAGCCTCCGCGGCCCCCCAGGCTCGACGAGCACCCCGGGGCGCCCATCGTCATCCGAGACAGCCCGGTTCCCCGCACCCCGCCAGCTCTCCCTCCCTGCGCCCGGGAGCGCCCGGCGCCTCCACAGCAGGGCGCCAGCCCCCCCAGCTCCCCACCCATGCCGGTCATCGACAACGTCTTCAGCCTGGCCCCCTACCGGGAGTATCTGGACGTGCAGGCGCCCGAGGCCACGCCGGCCCCTAAGGACAGCGGAGAGGAAGTCGGCGGGGGGACCCTGCCCGCCCAGGAGGGGCCTGCCGGGACACGCTCGCTCCGGGAGGAGGTGGCGCTGGACTTGAGCGTGAAGAAGCCCGTGGCAGAGGCTGCCCCTCTCACAGACCCTAGTCCCGAGGTGCTGGCCAAGCCCACTGCCACCGTGGACGGGCCAGACGCAGGGGATGCAGCGTCGGACCCGCCAGGCTTGAAAAAAATGGCCACAGAGGCGCCGGTGGCCCCCGAGGCCACGCCAAGGACCAATTTCCACAGCTCTGTGGCCTTCATGTTCCACAAGTTCAAGATCCTCCGGCCGGCACCCTTGCCTGCAGCCGTGGCGCCGCCCCCGCCGCCCGCAGTCCCTGCCCCCGCTCAGCCCGTGCCCACGCCCCCGTCTCTGCCCATCGGACTGCAGATTCTCACCCAGCCCTTACCCGTGGCCTGCTTCAACCTGGCACTGCCCAGCCCTCCCGCCATAGCCGTGGCCTCCCCAGCCTCGGCCCCCGCCGCGACCCCGTCGCCGGCCCCTGCGTTGGCCCCGGCCCCCAAGGACTCCTCGGAGCCGCAGTTCATGGGGCTGCACACGTCCCTGTGTGACACCATCTCCGCCTCGGTGGCCCACTCACTGCCCGAGAGGCTGCGCGAGTGGCTGGGGTCGGCCGCGCCGTGGGGCCAGGCGGCGTGGCGGGACTTCCAGGGCGTGCAGGGGCTGCTGGGCAAGCTGCAGGCGCAGCTACAGCGGTTCCAGCGCACGCAGCAGTGCCCCTTCCCCTACGTGGTGCGGGCCGGCGCCGTCTTCGTGCCTATCCACCTGGTGAAGGAGCGGCTCTTCCCACGCCTGCCGCCGGCCTCCGTGGACCACGTGCTGCAGGAGCACCGCGTGGAGCTGCGGCCCACCACGCTGTCAGAGGAGCGCGCGCTGCGGGAGCGCGCCCTGCACGGCTGCCCCTCGCGCATGCTGAAGCTGCTGGCGCTGCGCCAGCTGCCCGACATCTACCCGGACCTGCTGGGCCTGCAGTGGCAGGACTGCGTGCGCCGCCAGCTGGGTGAGCACGGGACCGCCCCGGGAGCCGCCCGAGCCGTCTGAGCGCTGGACTGGCGCGTGCGTGGTGTGAGTGGTGCGCAGCCGGGCAGGAACGCGGGCGCTCCCGCTCCACAGCTCCTCACACCCGGGACTCGGCTGGGGCTCCCCGCCTTCCACCCTGTGGCGTCAGCACACACACAGAAGTGTACCCAGAGGCGGGAGTTTCTTGGCCTTTCTTCCATAAATGGTGTCTTGTGTCTGCTGTTCCCAGTTGGCTTTCTTTGAGCGCTGGGGCACACGGTGCAGGCTGTGCCTTGGGTGGGCAAGGCTTCGGGTCAGTGGAGGCGGAGCCTGTGGCAGTGCGGTACACATGGAGGTTGGGGACCGGCTGGCCAGCGTTCCTGAGCCCTGAGCGCTGGCAGGTGCCATGATGCGTGCTGGCGTCCCATTCCTGAGCAAGAGAGCCTGGGGGTGAGGCCTGCGCCCCTCCAAGGCTCCTGGCCCCGTGCCCTATGTGGTCGGACACTCGGACTGCTTTTCCCCGGGCTGCCCCCCACTCCTGTTTCCTGAGCCTGCAGGAGCCAGGCCCCTGCCATGGCTACATTTGGGCACCCTGGTCTCCACTGCCCCAGACACTTCCTTCTGCCTTTGTTTCTTTGGGGTCCCTGCACTCTCCCCCCAGGTGTCGCTTCAGGAGGGTCCCTGCCCAGGCTCCAGCTCGTGCTCAGCCTCTGGGACCGACATGGTGGGAAGTGGATGCCTCAGTTTTCTGACCTGTGCAATGGGGCTTTGGATGATATGTGGCATTGCTGATCTGGGCCTGGGTAACAGGCCTGTGTGGGAAAGTTCGTGATGGCCACAGCCCTGCCAGCCCCGTCCTGGCCCAGGGCAGAGCGGAGCCGCCGTGCTTCGGCCACAGCCTGACCGTGTGTTCGTTTTCTAGGTGACTTTGAGGCTGCAACTATGTCCCCCTCAGAAGCCACCATGGCCAGAGTCGAGCCAGAGAGCCTGGCCCTGGATCAGAAGTCACCAGCCCCCAAGGTCAGGAGGCCGGGGAGGAAGCTGCCGACTCCCAGGCCAGAGAGAGCAGAGACAGTTGGGGGAGGGTCCCGCAGTGGCTCCCCTCCCCCTGCTGCCAGCGCCAGCCCACCCAGCCCCACGTTGAAGACCCGCTTTCGCAGCCTGCTGGAAACCGCCTGGCTCAGTGGCCTGGCACTGCCCACCTGGGGCCACAAGGCCTCAGGACCAGGCCGGCCCTCACCCCACGCACAGCTGCTGGGCGGCCAGAGCCCTCCCGCGTAGCCTCCCTCGGTGGCCGGGGCTCTGGGACTGCTGGCGTCTGGGGGTCGTGTTCTGCCCCTCCCTGCTGGCCGAGAGCCCCTGAGCCCGCACGCATCACGGCACCTGCCAGTGCTCAGGAATGCTGTGAGCAGAGACCAGAGAGACCCCAAGGACGTGGAGCCCGAGAGCCCTGGCTGGCTCCTGGCTCCCGTGTCCTTGCTGGGTGACCTGGCGCACACGGCCATCAAGGTTCTCTGTAAACCAGGCTGAGGTGGCCGACCTCTCAGCGCTGTGGGAGGGATGCCTGGTTCTGAGGAGAGGAGCCTGCTGCAGGGAGTGAGTGCTCTGGAAAGCCGGGGACGCCGCACAGGGCACACGACACACTGGCTGAGCACCCCAGCCCGCGCTCCCTGGGGGAGCTCCCCACCGCTGCTGCAGGGACCCGGCCTGGGGCTGCACCCTGCCCCGGTAGCCCCGCGCCTTAGCCCAGGCAAGGGGTGCTTCTAGAAGGCAGCCAGCTGCAGGGGTTTGGTGGAGGGGGGTGCACAGTGCTAGGGGGTCTCGGGCAGGGGCCGCCTCCCTGTGAGTGCTGAACTGAGCCCCCCCCATCCTCCCCTCACCTGATCTAAAGGTTTGTGATAAGCTGTGGGGGCTGAGGTCAGCAGCACATTAAAGCTGTGGGCTGGGAACCAGGGCCTGGCCGTGCCTGGCTCCGGGCCTAGTGTCTCCATCACCACGACCCTCTGCTCTCCTCCAAGGGGTGCCGGCCCCGGGGCCTGGCCACCAGACTCCCTGCTCCAGGAAAGCCCTCTTGGTGGTGAGAAGTTCTGGCTGCCACGCCCAGCATCCTGGGGGGTCTTCAGCCGTCCAGTCTGGCCAGGGCTGGTGTGGCAGTGCTGTGTCCCTTGAGCGCCATCTGTCCACCCAAGTCCAAGAGGAGCTAGAGCGGCAACGGATTTGCTGTTGTTTCTTCCCCCGGTCCTCCCCGGATTAGCTGCCGCCCCCCGCCCCAGCCTCCACGGAGGGGCGGCACCCCCACCGCTTCCCCTGCGGAAGCGGCACATCGCCAACCGGCTCTCTCAGGGGTTCCTCAGATGTTCCTGCATGTTGTCTCTCTCCTCCTTTATACTCCTCTCCCACCAATCCCAACTCTGCTGGCGTTCTCCCCCGACACGCTGAGCACGCTGCTCTCCTCCAATCAGGGGCAGGACCAGCTCCTGCAGCTTGTTAGTTGAATTGGTGAGGCAGCTGTGTGGAAGTTGTTTACTCCCTCTCAGCGCCATATGGTGGGAGATCAGATGCACAGAGTTAGTCTTAGCAGTTCCAGTAGTTTAGTCTAGTCTCGGTAATCTCAGTATTTGTCCTCAGTATTTATTTGTCCACAGTCTTAGTACTTATTTGTCTCCCGGGCAATGGGCCCTGCCATGTTACGGGAGACAGGTCCTGCTCCCCACTGGGCCCTGCTCTCCACACCAGGCGACGCTGGTCCTTCGCTTCTAGCCAGTATCGTGGGCTGCTGAGTGCGTGGAAAGAGGTTTACCGGGGCTCCTGGTCCAAGGCTGTGTCTGGCAGAGCCCTGAGGAGGCGTGGGGCCTCACGTGCCAGGATGTGGGTTTCTGGTGTCCTCTTAGCCGGGGATCCGATTTGTGTCCTGGGGAGGAGGCGACACAGGAAACCCACGTGCACCACTGGTGACCTTTGAGGCTGCTCACGGGACGGTTGTACCTGACGCTGTGACAGGTGGAGTCCTCGGGACTTGGGCTTCCTGGGCACCGGTCTTGCCCGTGGTTATGGACCAGTGAGGCCCAGGGACGGGCAGGGCCCAGCCCCAAGTGCACTGTGGCCCTGGAGGACCTGTGATGGGTCGGGGTGGAGGGGAGCTGGGCCTTGCTGGGGAGGTGGCTGAGACGGCTCGTCCTGGGGGACCCCCGGCCCCCAGGCTCTGTTTGGGAGAGACCAGCCCTGGCCTGAGTGGGAGCCCGGGGGGGGAGGGGGGGATATGACAGTGTCTCTACCTCCTAGTAGTTGGAGCCCACCCTGTCACTCACCTGGGTCCTGCGGGCCGAGGGGAGGGTGCGTGGGCACTGCCTGTGCTGGGGCCCCTGCCCTGCAGGCTCCTGGGTGGGGTCAGGTGGCGCTTCCCCACAGGATCAGCTACAAAACCAATCCTGTCTCAGGCAGAGCCTAGGATTTTGGGGTTTAGCCAGACTCCTGAGTCGGGTGTTCAGGAACTACACTTTAAAGATCTTTTACAAATTCATTCAAAAGGCAGAGAGCGAAATCTTCCATCCCCTGGTTCACTCTCCAAATGGCTGCAACAGCTGGGGCTGGCCAGGCTGCAGCCAGGAGCCAAGAGCTTCATCCTGGTCTCCCACGCGGGTGCCGGGACCCAAGCACCTGGGCCGTCCTCTGCTGCTGCCTACCCAGGCGCATTAGCAGGGAGCTGGACAGGAAGTAGAGCAGCCGGGAGCAGAACTGGTGCTCCCATATGTCACGGGCAGCAGCCTAACCCACTGCGCCACAGTGCCAGCCCCACCACGGCCCTCCCTGTAGGTTACAGATGGAGGAGTGAGACCACGAATTTGCTCACAGTGACAGAAAGGGCCCAGGTCAAGACAGCCAGAGCCGGACAGGCACGACCGCTCTGCGCTGGGCTCCACTTGGCCCCTGATGGCCTAACGCAGACCTGCCCCTGCCAGTTAGGTACTGGATGCCCGGGTGCACGGGGAGGGGACCCGAGTCTGAGCTTAGCTGTGCCCAGCGTGTGTGTGAGGCCAGCCTGTGTGCCTTAGTACTGGGCCTTGCAGCTGGCCTCGTCCTCCACTCCCCGCCCGCCCATGTGGGAGACCCAGAAGAAGCTCCTGGCTTCAGATCAGCTCAGTTGCCGAAGACAAGACCTCCCTCTGTAACTATGCTGCTCAAATAAAATTAATCTTAAAAAATTATTTAGTTTATTTATTATTATTTCTTATACGGCTGAGTTAGAGGGAGAGACAGACTTCCATCCATTGATTCACTCCCCAAATGGCTGCAAAAGCCAGGGCTGGGCCAGATCAAAGCCAGGAGTCGGGAGCTTCTCCCAGGTCTCCCACATGGGTGCAGGGGCCCGAGCACCTGGGCCATCTTCTGCTGCTTTCCCAGGCATGTTAGCAGGGAGCTGGATCAGAAGTGGAGCAGCTGGGACTAGAGCCAGTGCCCCACGTGGGATGCCGGGGTCGCGGGTGATGGGTTAACCCATTGCACCACGGCGCTGGCCCTTCCCTGTCTCCTGGGGACAGGAGAACCCAGGCTTCTGGACAGGAAGTGCTGCGCCTCTCCCTTGGGAGGGTCTCAGAGGCCTGGCAGCGGCTGCCCTGGAGCCACCAGATCAAGTCACCTGCTGGCCCCGCAGCCCAGGAGCCAGGCCAGGCTCTTCCTGCTGACGAGGCCTCTGTGGGCTTCCCTCCCCAGCCGCCTGGAGTAGGCCAGAGACGGCCCCTGCTTGGGAGGCCACGAGACTCAACACCTGCCCTGTGCAGGGGGCTGGGGTGGCGCCATCCAGCCTTCCCCGCCACCTCCTGAGCCTGGACACACCGGGACCCGGCTTGCAGAGCCATGGCCTTGGCACCCCCAAGCCCAGCAGGCAGCAAGCGTCCCCACCGGATATGTCCAGCCCGGTCCCCTGCTCCTGGTGGGCCGCCCCTCCCGGGTATGGCAGCTTGTAGCTTCAGACCTAGGGTGCTGTCCCGGCTCCTGGTCTCATGTGCACTTCTGAAGCGCAAAGCCCCTACAGCCTGGTATCTTCCTGTGCTCCTGGGGCCCGGTGGGAGACCTCCTGCCCCTCCCCCCATGCCACACACTTGCCTACCACAGCCCCAACGGGTGGCCTTGTTTCTTATAGCCTTGAGCCTCCCTTTGCTAGGGTCCCTAAGCCTCATAGCTGGGCACACCCCTGCCCAGGCCATACCTGAGCCGGCACCCCTGCCTCCAGGGTTCCCCTTAGAGCCTGGGCCCAGCCCAGTCCCCATCTCCCTAAACCATCCACCCTGACTGCGGGGGGGGGGCCCTCACCCACCTCTTTTTTTTTTTTTTTTTGACAGGCAGAGTGGACAGACAGAGAAAGGTCTTCCTTTTCTGTTGGTTCACCCTCCAATGGCCGCTGCGGCCGGCGCATTGCGCCAATCCGAAGCCAGGTCTCCTGGTCTCCCATGTGGGTGCAGGGCCCAAGCACTTGGGCCATCCTCCACTGCACTCCCGAGCCACAGCAGAGAGCTGGACTGGAAGAGGTGCGACCGGGACTAGAACCCGGTGTGCCGGCGCCGCAGGCGGAGGATTAGCCTAGTGAGCCGCGGTGCCGGCCAACCTCATCTCTTTTAAGTTTGAGAGATGGAGAAGCCAGCGGAGCTCCCCCCTACTGGCTCACTACCGGAGCTGGGGCTCAGCGGGGCTGGGCTGAAGCTGGGAGCCGGGACCTCGGCCAGGTCTCCCACTGGGTGCCAGGGCCCCCACTACTTGCTGCCTCCTGGGGTCTGCGTTAGCAGGAAGCTGAAGTCAGGAGTGGAGCCAGGCCTCCAACCCAGAGACCTCAGGCTGGGAGGTGGGAGTCCCAGGTGCCATCTGGCCCGGCCCTTCTCAGGTGCCTGCGGCGTGCACCTCAGAGCTCTGGGAGCCCCTGCCGTCCCCTCTGATGCGGGTCCTTCCCTGACCCCGAGGGAGGCTCCCACGGGCCTGCCGTCCCTTCTCCCCAGGCCTAGTGTCTGGGCACCAGCGTGAGTAGCTCTGGCATCCCCGCTCACAGCCATTCTGACTGCCCGTGCACCGCCCTCCCCTGGCGCCCTGACCTCGAGTCTGCCTCGAAGGGGGTCCTCAGCCCCACCCCCACCCCCACACAGCCCAGGATTAAGCCTCAGCAGACTGTGACTGTGACCTGCTGACCCAGGGACAAAAGGCAATCAGTGCTGTGCCACCTGCTTCAGTGCTTGGCCCTGCTCCTCTCTTTTGGCGCTGCTGGGGTTCCAGGCAGAGGCCAAGGGCAAGGCCAGGCCAGGGTGGACAGTCCCCACCATGGGGCTGCTGTGACCCTCATGTCTGTGCTGCAGCAAAGACAACTTAGGGAGGACTCCTGTCACAAGCCCTGCGGACCCTGGCGGTGACCGTCCAGCTCCAGGTGGACAGCACTGTGCCACTGCTTAGAAAGACTGTGCTAGCCCTGTGGGTCGGTGCCCCTGTGCTGTCTCCCTGCAGCCCGTGGCATCTCCTGTGTGGGTTTGAGCCAGTTTCCACACCAGTCTCCAAGCAGGCCTGCCCACTCTGCCCCAGCAGAACCCCCCCCCCCCCCGCCCCAGATGAGAAGCCACAACAGGGAGGCCAAGAGCATCTTCCGTTGGCCACAAATTGGGGTGCTTGGAAAGTGGGGATGGATCAGGCTGGTCTCGGGGCACTGGAGGGGGCTTCAAGGGTGGAAGTGAGGCTTGTGGGTGGGTTCCAGGCGTGCAGAGAGCTGCCAGCAGGTGCCACCAACCCGAGTGACCTTGTCTCGGGGCATCACAGTGGCCGCCGTTCCTGGCTGGGCAAGTCCACGGCCTGGGCCTGGGACTGGGGGGCAGCCTGACTCCGAACACCAGCCCCTGGCACCGCTGCTGCAAGGGCCCTGCTGGCTCCCAGGGCAGGAGCTCCCCAAGCCTGCCTCTTCCACGGCCACTGGGGTCCTCCCGAGCCCCAAAAGTCCCCAGCTCGAGACCTCCCATTCCCCCCTCCCCGGGGCAGATACCACTGCCTGGGGTGGCAGCCAGGCCTCAGCCACCATTACCCAAGCCCTGTGGTGCAGGGCTGACTCCCGTGGGCCCCACCCTGTCCTCTTGCTGGACCACTGTGGGGACTGGGGACAGAAGTAATTCACTGCCCCAGGCCCAGTGAGTAGATGCAGGAGCCAGCCACCTCCGGCCCCCTGCTCCTGTGGTCTGGTCCTGGGCACGAGATCCCAGAGCCGGGCTGGCATCCGGCTGTGTAGACAGGTCCCTGCGTGTGCACACTGACCTCTGTCCTGCCCAGGCAGGGTTCCTGGCCCTGTAGGGGAGGAAGGCAGTGCCAGGGGCCGCAGTGGCCATGGGGTCCCTTGGCTGGGCAGAAGGCCCGGCCTGGCCTGGCTGCGTGAGCTGTGGGGAGGCCTTGAGCCCATTTCCCTCATCTGTAAGCGAGGGCACCTGCCTCCTGCAGGGTGCGAGGGTGCGGGAGCGCGCGGCCTGTGAGCGTGCACACGGAGTGAGTACTGTATTCTCCGACTTTATGCAGCTGGGGGTGGGCAGAGGAGCCTGGGCTTAGCGCTCAGTCTGTCCCCAAGGCGCGGGAGCCAGCGGGAGCTGTCCCAGCCCCGGAGTCCAGGCGAGAGGCGGCCCCGTGCTGCGTGGCGGCCTCCGGTTGGTGCCACACACGCCCTGGCTCTAGGTTCACGTCCGGGCGCTCGGGCGTTGCCTGCAGAAGCCCCGGGGCCGGGCCGCCCCGGAGAGCTCGGGGCGCGGGTTTCAGCGGAGCGCGCCGCGCGGTCGGCCGGGTTGCGGGAGGCGGAGCTGAGCGGTGCGCGGCCTCTGGTTGGTCCACAGTGCGCGGGGCTTTCTTGTGATTGGCCAGTGACAGGGGCAGGTGTTTTCTGTGGAAACGCCGAGGCTGGCTTCCGTTTGGGGACGACCCACGCCCAGGCCCCGAGCGGAGGGGTGAGCCCTGCTGGGGTCCCCACTTCACCAGGCCCAGCCCCCAACTCTGGGAAATGCTCGTGGTGGCCCAGGGTCGACTCCAGGGTAATCGCCGGCTGGTGGGAGCCGGGGATGGTCAACCTGTTACCTGTCAGAGGTCCCGCTGGCCCCACGGCGGCACTTCCCGTCCCGCAGGCCGAACACCCCGGGGCAGACCCTGCCCTTCAGCACCTGGGGCAGGGAGGGTGCGGTCTTGGGGTGAGGCCGGATGGAGGGTGAGGGCCCAGCCTGCCCCCCCCCCCCGGGGGGGACTCCACTCACCAGGACAAGGGTGGGCGTGGCCAGCAGCAGGCTCAGGGCGAGCAGAGCCACAGCGTAGCTGGGCACGGGGGTGCCAGGCTGGGCCTCAGCACCCGGGATGCCTGTGCAGAGAGCAGGAAGGCTGGGCCTGGGTGTGTCCCCTTCCTTCGGGACCCCAGGGCCCTGAGGAGGCCAGGCCAGGCCTGCGGAGGATCCCTGGCAGGGGGCCTGGCTCAGAAGGTGCCGCAGGAACAGAGAAAGTCAGGAGCAAGGGTGGGGCGCGGGGCAGCCAGAGGGCGTGGCTGGGGGTACTGACCGGGGCCCGGGAGAACCATCTCTGCTGAGAGACCCTCGGTCGCCCGCAGGGCGGGCAGGCTCTGGTGCACCAGGTCCTGCACCCGCTCCGGGGCTGGCGCTTCCCCGAAGAAGGTGACTCCCAGCCTGGCTGTCAGTGGGTCCGGCCTGGCAGAGGGACCAGCACAAGCTTCAGGGCCGGACGGCCGGGGGGGCTTGGAACGGCCCTCCCTTCCCCCAGCATTCTGTCGCCGCCCCCGGAGGCCAGCACCACCATGCACTCACTGGAGCTCCTCCACCACCACCCGGTCCAAGTTCTGCAGAGGCCTGAGGACGGCGGTCAGCTGGGGGCCGGAGGACAAGGAGGGTCACAGCCCGGCCGCAGCCTTGTCCAGCCGCCCCGCCCCTGCCCCGGGCCTCCAGCCCCACCCCCCCAAACTCCACCTCCGCTCTGACGCTCACCCATCGCGTCAGCCGCGCCTGCAGCTCCCCGGACTCCGAGCTGGTTTTGTCCTCAGTGGCCTGGCTGGCCAGTGGGCCCTGGATCCTCAGCCACACCTCGTACCGCACCAATTCTGCCTTCTCCCCTGGACAGAGGACGGGTGGTTGCTGCCGTCCAGCCCTCGGCCAGCGGGGCCAGAGGCTGGGGTCCTTGCTGCCTGCTTCTGAGTGCGGTTTCTGGTGCGGGGGGCGGGCTGCCGCCGAGGGCCTGTACCCCTGGGCCTGGTGCAGCACACCTCGTGCTTATGGGAGGATTAAATGAGAGAGTGCAGAGGCCAGCTTCTCTCCTGGATCCCAGCTTCTCACTGCTACCCAACGCTCCGGCGAAGCTGTGCATCCAGCCCTCTCTGTGGCCCCAGCACACAAGAATTTTCTTCAAAAGGAGGTTCTGCCCATTCTCCAGAAGGGGAACACTGAGGCCAATGGCTCTTAGGCATCCACATCGGAAAACAGGAAATCAGATTATCGGTGTTCGAAGATCTGTTCTCAGACTTAGGAAAAGCTACAGGCTCCACCGAGGGGTGAAAAAATCAGTGGAATCAGATACAGAACCACAGGGTGGACCAGCAATGACCTGGCTGCAAAGGGGACAAAGCGTCCCACTCTCCACGCCCACCGTCCACACGGAACACCGGGAGGACGTCTACAGGAAGTACAGCATCTCTACAGTGTGAGTTTCAAAGCTCTCATGAAATAAACTATAGAGGACACAAAAAATGGAAAGACAGCCCATGTTCATGGATTAGAAGAATCAATACTAAAACGTGCTGCCCAGAGCAATCTCCAGATTCAACACGATCCCTACAGAGGCACCAATGACATCCTTCACTGAACTCGAGAAAACAATCCCAGAATGCATACGGAACCACCAGAGACCCAGACCAGCCAATGCCATCCTGAACAACAAAAAGCATATGATAGAGCTATGGTAATCACAACAGTGTGGTGGGGCCTGCGCTGTGGTGCAGCCGGTTGATGCCCTGGCCTGAAGCACCGGCATCCCACATGGGTGCCGGTTTGGGTTCCAGCTGCTCCACTTCCAGTCCAGCTCTCTGCTAGGGCCTGGGAAAGCTGCAGAAGATGGCCCAAGTCCTTGGGCCCCTGCACCCACATGGGAGACCTGGAAGAAGCTCCTGGCTCCTGGCTTCAGATTGGCTGAGCTCTGGCCTTTGTGGCCATTTGGGGAGTGAACCAGTGAATGGAAGACCTCTCTCTCCTTCTTCCTGTCTGTAACTCTCAGATAAATAAAATCAGTAAAAGGAAAAAAAAAAAAAAGACAGCATGGCATTGAAATAAACACACAAAGACTGATGAATGGCCCACGTATTTAGCAGCCAGCGGATTTCAACAGTGGTGTCAAGAACGTACTTTGGAGAAAGGACAGGCTCTTCAGTAAATGCTGCTGGGACAACCGGGTAGTCACACACCCAGAAGTAAAGCTGGGGTCACCCCCCTACACCGCAGAGCAGAACTATTCGAAGTGGACCAAGAACCTACATGTCACACACAGAACCAGGAAACCGACCCGGGGAGACGCTGAGGCACTGACATGGGCAAAGATGTCTTAAACAGGCTCCCGAAGCCAAAGCAGACTGGGGGGGAAGCTGGCAAACCCCGACGCTTCTGCACAGCGGAGCAAGCAGTCGGCGGAGGGTAGAGACGGCGACAAAGCCTGGGTCTGACAGAGAACTGCTGTCGGGACAGAGGAGGAACTCAACAGCAAAAAATAAACCTGATTTTCACAAAGACAAGTGATCCGAGTAGCTGTTTCTCGAAAGAAGACACATGCGTGGCACGCAGGTGCAGGAACCCATGCTGGACTCCACTCAGCAGGGAGATGCAAATCAAAGCCACAGCGAGGTCTCGCCTAGTCAGAACGGCTGTCTGCCATCAGGACAAAAATACATGCTGACAGGCACGCAAGGGGGCCCTTACTCACTGCTGGTGGGAGTGGAAATTACCCCAGCCATCATGGAAAAGAAAGCGGGACTTCCTCAAGAAGCTGAAAGCGGATCTAGCCATGACCCCCGGCACGGCGACTGACCGGGTGTCTGTCCCGGGGCCTTGAAGGCAGACACCTGCGGGAAGCCTCCACCTGTGACACGGCATCCCATAGTCCCAAGTCTCCCCCAGCTCATTCGGATCCAGCTGCCTGCTGTGGCCTGGGACAGCAGTGGAGGATGGCCCAAGTGCTTGGGCCCTGCCCCCACGTGGGAGACCCGGAAGAAGCTCCTGGCTCCTGGCTTTGGCCAAGCCCAGCCCTGGCTGTTGCAGCCTTTTGGGGAATCAGCAGATAGAAGACCTCTCCCTCTCCCTCCCTCCTCCTCCTCTCTCTGTAACTCTGCCTTTCGAATAAATGCAAAATAAGTCTTTACAAAGACGAATTAACAGCACAGGTACTATAGGACTGTGGTTGACCACATGGAAGCAGAGAGGAGAAGAGGGGTCCCTGGAGGCAGGAGAGGGAGGGAGGAGTGAGAGGTGGGTGATGGGCACCACACGCAGTTCAAGGGGGCGGGGTTCCAGTGTCACCAGCGCAGTGGGGGATGCAAGTCCACAACAGAGCAACCGGAGACCCAGACAGCCGGGCTGTGACCATGCACACCACACACCGCAGCCAGGGGGCGCCAGCCCCACTCACCGTTGGCCACGATGCTGGATTTCTGCAGGATGGAGGCCACGATGTTCCGGGCCAGGTGAGTGGCCAGGCCCCGGAGCTGGGCGGGAAGGGCCTGCTGGAACTTGTACTCGATGTGAACGACCAAGCCCTGGGCTGTGTCCCTGCGAGAGCACCAGGGACGGGGCGGGAGGCAGATGCCGTACTGGCGCAGGTTCCCAGGGCGCTCCTGCAGCCGGCCAGCAGGTGCGCCTGTGCCTCCCACGTGTGTCTGAGTTCTGGCCTCCCGAGGGGAGCTGGCTGGCGGGCGGGAGGGGGTGCCCCACCTGAATATGAGCAGGGGGTCGTCCTGGGGTCGTGCCTTGTAGAATCCCGACACCAGGGGTGTGACCTGTGGGCAAGTCGCAGGGGGTTCTGGGAGTCATCTCTCCTGGGACCCAGGGCGGGGTGGGGCAGGGAGTCTGGGTACAGAGCCCGGGCAGGGCCCCCCCACGGTGCCGCGTCCATGGGCGTGGCTGCACCTGTCACCCCCAGGCTGTAAAGGCTGCTTTCTGGGGGGTCCGGGTGAGCGTCCCAGGCCCCAGAAGCGGTGCCGGCAGCCTCACCTCTCGGAGAATCTGCTCCCCCAGCAGGACCAAGGGGGCAGAAGCAGGTAGGAGGAGCTGGGGCGGGAACGGGCTGGTGGCTATGGCGCTGATGCTGACGGTCTCCGGGGCCAGGTCGCTCAGGCTGGACTCTGCAAGCCAGGGCCGGGATCCAGGAGGATCCAGGAGGACCCAGGAGGACCCAGGAGCCCCCTCCCCAACCCCAGCTGCTCCGGTGGGGGTGGGCATGGGGGATGGTACTCACGGTCACAGGTGAGGCTGCTCTCTTCCACCCGGAGGGCCGCCAGCGTCTGCCCTGAGGCCTTCACATTTCGGTACAACGTCCAGAGGACGTCTCGGGCAGAAGGGCTCGGGACAGAGCCCCCAAACTCCAGGGAGGCCTGCACGGCTCCGGGCGTCCTGAGCAAGGGGAGTCTGCGGGCCAAGCAGGGGCTGCAGCGGGAAGAGCGACTCACGCCCCCGGCCCCCCGCCCGGCCCCTTGTGGTGGGGCCCGCGGAGCACAGAGCAGGTACTCCGTGACAGCGACACCCAACAGGACTCCCACCCTGGACAGCGTGGGCCAGGCCGCTGTGAGCTCTCAGCAGGCTGGTGGGGGGTGGGGGCGGTCCCTGGAAGCCACCGAGGCCGGATGTCCCGGAGAGGTAGTGAGTTCCCCATCACTGGCCTGTCCAAGCTTCCGAATTCCTGCTCTGGGAGCAGAATTCCGGCTCAAAGGCCACGGAGCTCAGGCAAAGCCGGTCTCCCCCAAGGGCTCCGGATGGGGAAGGCAGCGGCAATCATTTGCATGTCATTTGCATGCCTGGGCCCCAGGGAAGGGGGCTGCCTGGCCCAGCGTACGGAGATCTTGCCTGGCATCCCTGGCAAACTCCGGCAGCCGGAATCGGGGCTCAGAGCAGGCAGAGGTTCATAGGGGTCACACCACACTGCCAGTGGGGGAAGCGGAAGGCGCCGGTGCCCCGGGGGAGGGGGGCCCTGACGGCCGCGGGCACTCACCGGAGCACCTGGACGCGGACGCTCTTGAAGCTGGGGAAAGCCTCGCGGAAGATGGCCCGGAGCTGGGGACACGCAGGGGCATGGAGGGCCGGCCTGCACCTTCCTCCCCAGTGACACCTCGCTGCCCAGGCCCGCCCACACAGCCCCCACAGACAACCTATCAGTCGCTGTCCACTCAAGCCCCCGGGGGCCACAGCTGGCCAGGGAGCACCCAGCACCCAGCCTGCAGGCCCCGCAGCCACCTGAGTGACAGCCCCTCCTCCTCCCGTCTCCCACCCTCTCTCACCCCCGCCCCCCTCCCCCAGCCCAACATCGCTGTCCATTAGACTGCTCTCCCCTGCGCCTCCCTGCCCCGGGGCCCTGGCAGGTGCCACGCCCACATCTGGAAAGCCCCTCCCTCTGCCCAGCCGCCTCAATGAGAGGGGCACCCCGCACACAGCTCCCCGGGCTGTGGCTGCCCCCAGGCCCGCCCCACACTGCAGCCATGTCCCCTGTGTATTTTGCTCAACACGTCCCCCCAGCACTGAGCAGTGGGTGTTCAGGGAACTGCAGGGAGACAGGATTTCATTGAATAATCAGAGAATGAACACCAGACCCACAGAGCTTCCCCTGGGGCAGGCCGGCGCGCCTTGGCTGCCCGGGGCAGCAGGGGGCTGAGGCTCTGGCCGTGGGAGCCTGGCTGTCCCTGCAGGTGGCGAGAGCCACGTGGGGAGCCCCCCCCGCCTCTGGTGGGAGACTCAGACACTGCGAGATTCTTCTGCCCACCTCTCTTTGCCCGTGGTACAGGGGCTGTCCTGTGGGGAGCAACTCGGACTAGACTAAGTTACTGCAATGAAGACTTATTCTATGCATCTGCTCTCCCACAATATGGCGCTGAGAAGGGAGAAACAGCTTCTACACAGCTGCCTCCAGTTCAACCAATAAACTGTAGGACCTGCTCCTGATTGGAGGAGAGCAGCGTACTCGGCGTGTGGGTAGCAGAGTTGGGATTGGTGGAAGAGGACTATAAAGGAGGAGAGAGACAACATGCACCAGGAACATCTAAGAGGAACATCTGAAGGAACACCTGTGCAGCCCCCGAGAGAGCCGGCCGGCGGTGTGCCGCTCCCCCGCGGAAGTGGGGAAAGTGGCTAGGGGGAACCGCCCTTCCACAGAGGTGGAAGGGACAGTAGCCAACCCAGGAAGAACCAGCAGCAAACCCGGGGAGGGCCGAGCAGACAAAAGAACAGCGCAGGGTCCTGTGTCGTTCCTCCACGAAGACGGGGAGCGACACTGTCCAAGAAGTTTGCGGGGGAAATGGAATTAAAAGATTAGTTTATTTTGGTACAAAATAAATTGAAATCCATGCATAGTTTTTTTTTCTTCATACTACACATTATCCACGAATGTTTTGCAGACTCCTTGTATGCACAATTTCAGAAGTTTTTTGCACCAAAAGTATTGGGGTGGGTGTTCGGCCTGGTGGTTAGAGATGACATTGGAGGGTGGGCATGGGGGTGCAGTGGGCCAGGCCGCTGCTTGGCGCGTCCGCAGCCCAAGTGCCTGGGGTCAAGTCCTGCTTCTGCTGCCATCCGGCTCCCTGCCAATGCCCCTGGGAGGCAGCCGTGATGGCCCTAGTGGTCGAGCCCCTGCCACCCGCACGGGAGACCTGGATGGAGCTCCTGGTTCCTGCCTTGGGCCTGGCCCAGCCCCACTGCAGGCGTCTGGTGAGTGAACGCGTGGATGGGAGCCCTCTGTCCCTCTCTCTGTCTCTCAAATAAACTAATTATTTTACATTACAGTAAACTTCCCTTTTCGTTCCATTTTCCCATGAACTTTCTGGGTTTCTGCCTGGGCTTTCCCTTCCTGCTGGAAGCCCCTCTCCGTTTCTACTTCTTAGGCTCCTGTCTCTCCCTCCACCCACTCCTCCCACACCTGAGGAGCAGTACAGGGTGGGTGCCCTCCATCCATCCACCCATCCATCACCTGCCCACCAATCCACCCGTCTATCCGTCATCAATCCATCTACCCATCCACCCACCTATCCACCCATCTATCCATCCATCCATCCATCACCTGCCCACCTATCCACCCATCCACCCACCTATCCATCCATCCATCCATCACCTGCCCACCAATCCACCCATCCACCCCTCTATCCGTCATCAATCCATCTACCCATCCACCCACCTATCCATCCATCCACCCATCCACCCACCTATCCACCCATCCACCCACCTATCCATCCATCCATCCATCCACCTGCCCACCAATCCACCCATCCACCCATCTATCCGTCATCAATCCATCCACCCATCCACCCACCTATCCATCCATCCATCCACCCACCAATCCATCCATCCACCCACCTATCCATCAATCCACCCATCCACCCACCTATCCACCCATCCATCCATCTGTCCATCCGACTCTCCCGAGGCGCCCCTGCGTGTCTGAGTGCAGGCCTGGGAGCCCTGGGAGTCTGTGGCCTGGTGGGAGTGGCAGGCAGGCAAGGGGCTGACAGAGCTGAAAGCTGACTGCTGGGCCGGGCTCCGAGGAGGCAGCTGTCAGCCAGGCAGGAAAGGCAGTGCAGGGCAGGGTGTGCCGATGCCCGGGGCTGTGTGGCCGGGCCTGGCCAGCTCAGAGGGTAGGAGGGCGGGGCGGGCAGGGCCACCGCTCGTCCAGGGCCCAGGCGCAGCTGGAGGAGGCGCCCTCACCTGACTGCAGATGCTCCAGCGCAGCCGCCGGTGCTCTGGGGAGGAGGGGTCCCCGGGAACAGCCGGCGAGGCTTCGCTGGTGATTCTGAAGCTCACACAGCGGGTCACACGCCTGGGTCCCGGGGCTGGCAGAGAGCCGGTCCGGCTTGGATGCGGCGGGGCTGAAGACTGGGTGGGCCAGGTACTCCCGGGGACCCTCTGGGAGACAGAGCTCGGCAGGGCAGAGGGGGAGCCGGGGTGGCATCCGAGGGAGCGGGTGTCGGAGGGGGCTGGGCTGGCAGAGTCCCCTGGCCCCAGCTGGAGCGCACCCTGCAGGGTGGCCATATCAGGAAGCGCCCGGTGTGTCGGCCCAGGTGGGCGGCTTGCGGCCCCGACGGCAGAGCCTGTGGCTGGGGCTAGGAACACATAGGTGGGAGGAGGGTCTGCAGAGACCCCGGCTCTGGTGGCCATGGGGGACATCGGGGCCAGGACTGCGGACGGCCATGAAGTTGGTGACGGGAATGTTGGCAGTGGGGAGAGTGCCAGCGACAAAGGCAGAACTGTGGATGGGGGGTGTGAGGGTGGCCACGAAGGTGGCCACGGTGAAGAACCACCAGGCCCCGGGCTTGGGCTGGAGGCCACGGCCTGTCCGGGTGACCCTGAGCCTGCTCGGAGGGCTAGGATGGCCATGTCCAGCCCTGACCAGCCTGGCACTCCCAGGGCGAGAGGCTCCGTGCCTGCTGTGTCAGCAGTGGACGTGAGCACAGGCGGGTCCCGGGGTCCTGGGGACACACCCTTCCCTGAGGCCCAAGGGGCCAGCATCAGAGATGGGGAGGTTTGGGGCCTGAAGGTGCTGGCAGCTGGCACCCAGGCATCGGGGCTGAAAGTGAGTCTGGCTGAGTGCCCTGGTGCAGGGCCGGAGGGGGCAGCAGGTGCTCCCGCTGGCTGCCGGCTTAACCCAGGGACAACGGACACCCTCGAGGCTGCAGACAATGCAGGGGCCTCACTGGACTTTTGCTCAGCCCCGAGGGACCTTGGCCCAGGAAAAGCCGGTGACAGCAGCAGCCTGGTGGCCGGAGACCCAGGAGCCGGCACCTCCTCTCTGGGCCGAGCTGCAGGAGACACTGGCCAGGACTCCGGGGTGCTGCTGGCTGCAGGCTCTGCGGGTGCTGATGGGGACGGTCCAGGTGTGGCCCCGCCCGAGTCCCCCCGATTCGTTCCCGAGGGGGCCCCGAGAGTCGGGGCTCCGGGATCCCCCCGTGCGCCCGCCGCCTCTGGGAGGGGGGTTTCTGCCCCTGTGCTGGGAGCTCCTGTCACAGGTGAGCTGGTGACTCCACTGAACTTCTTCAGGATGAGCAGGGGAACACGTGTGTCCCAGGCCCAGAACCCCCAGCTGAGAGGGGGGGGCCTGGCGGAAGCCGAGAGCAGCAGGAACGCTGGAAAGCAGAAGGGGCCCCGTTCTGCCAGCCGGCGCCCGCTGGGGTGGCACCGGCCCCCAGCCCCTCCGAGGCCACCGCTCCCCACAGCCCTTGATTAAGGGCTTGAGGAGACCCAGGCTCTGGCCAGTTCTGCCCTCAAACCACTGAGTCACCCCCCACCCAGCAACTCCCCTCCCCTCTCTGATCAGAGCCCAGTGGGGGGGGGCTGCTCATCTCCCAGGGAGGGCTCGGAGGAGGGAGGGGCCGTCTGCAGGAGCTCCCACTTGGCTCCCAGCCCAGCTCCCCCCTCGCTGTGGGGGCCCCTGCCCAGGAGCCTGGGGCCAGTTCAAGAGGCCCAGGCCAGCCCCAGGAAGCTGAGCTGCGGTGCCCGAGCCCCACCATGGACCATGGGAAAGGTGGGGCCCGCATCGCATTCCCCGACCTCGTGGGCTGCTTCCAGGGGGCTGGCTGAGGAGGTACAAGAGGGCAGGGGCACCTCTGAGCACCTTGGGGGCTAACCACACACCTGTCCGCAGGTGTACACCGAGCTCCAGGTGCCGCCTGCCCTGTGCCGGGCTCCCCAGAGCCCCGAGGGAGCCCCAAGTGTGTGGGTCTAGGCAGAAGCCCGGGCCCTGCCCTGGCATCCCCCAGACTCACCCTTAGAAGTTCAGCCGGCCCTAGAGGAAGAGGACCCTGCCCCTCCCCGCCCCCTCAGCTCCCTTACCAACCAGAATTCC